TACAACAGATGCCCACAACTGAATTCGAATCCAGAGGAATTTCAGAGTGTAATGGGTTGGAGTGAGAGATAATTGCAGTAATGAGCCCGGAAGCACATGTTTTAGATCCCTTCTTGTGATATGTTGCCTTGGTGGTCTTTGCATGTCATTCAAGGCCCTGAATACAGGAAGAGGGGAATATTTGCATCATGACTATTGCAGTAGTTAGAAAAGCAGCAGAAACCAGACACCTTGGCTGGATCACAGCCTGACTTCCTTCCACCTCTATAGCCCTCTTTGCATAACAAACAACATTTCTGTATAAGTATAATTTAAATATGTTTTTTTAAATATATATGACATTCTGGGGAAAGCCTGCAATTTCATGTACTCCAAGTAAGATTCAATTTAGAAGCGGTTTTCCTGCACTTAAGAATCTCGATGCTCCCTTCCCATTGCTCCCTTCCATGCATCTACAGCAAGCTCTGAGATTCCAGGAACAAGAACTATGTGTGCTTTTCAGCATAACCTTTATTGGGTTATAAGGTGTTTTTTTTGCTCTTGTTACACTTTGTTGTCCTTACTCTTGCCAGTGCATAGTCACTCTGAAGTGCAGCAGTCTTGAAGTGACAGCTTTTCCCTCCATGCCATTCAAAGTTTCGCTTGCAAAAGAATGGGCAGAATGAGAAACAGACTGCAGGCCAGGCTGTATTCTTTCTATATCTACTTCTGCACTATCTATATAAATCTTCATCTACATCTTTCTATCACTCTATGTCTCTATCAATCAATCTCTCATCTGTTTCAGTTCCTAAGGCCTCTTGGCTAACCTACTGTACATGCTGCCTCCTACCCTTCCTGTCAGACATCATCCCTTCTGGGCATGGAGCACAGTCATAGCAGCAAAATTTCTCTCCTTCCCTCTTTTTCCTTCTGTAGCCAGGATAGCAGTTGTCATTGCACACCGAAAGGGGCAGCACCTGCACACAAATACAAGATGCACATGATCATTAAGGAATCGTGAGCCAAGAACACTCATCTTTGCAGCATGGCTCTTGAGGTGGAAGGAGCACATTACTGAATTTACTCTTCGCTGCTTACGTATAGAAAACAGCCTGATATCTTGGAATGAGTCTTGCAGGCAGGGAGCAGGCATTGTGGGTGTGATGAAAAAGTGATTCAGTGCCCGCCAAAAATCAAATGCAATACGTGTTGCTTATGAGTACTATGCAGCACTTATACTGCATTAGACAGATTAGACACGTGATCCAAAGAAGCCTCCAAGACTGTGTTTTTGGCATAAATCATGCTTCTTGTGAAATACTTCAGGAAATTAGAACCACATAATTGACAGAAAGATAAGAAAACAGAAACTGAAGTTAAGGTAGTCCAATTTTGACCTAATTACCTGAATGGAGGAAACATGTAATTAAAAATAAGGAATTCAAGGTTAATTGTTTGGCTTAAGACTGTCATACTGGAATATTCTTGTGGGAACCATATTGATAGAGAATCTCATTTCCTTTCCTCTCCTGACCTCTCCTTGAGAAATCAGTAGTTATAAGTTGTCCACAACCCAGAATCTTCTCTGCATATTATAACTCCACATATTTTACTGCTTCCCCTATTCCTAAGGAACAATTTGGTGTCAATACCTGTGATCTTAGCTCAGACCTTTCTTGCTTTGTGCTGCTTGGTTGAAATTGAACTGCTAGTACCATCCAGTTGACAATAAAGTGGCTCACAACCTGGACCATCCACCATGCAAATTCCACACCAAGATTGAAATCTCACACCAAATATTTGGTGTGAATTCCACATAGGACTCAGGGGGTCTTAGTTTGGAATACACCACTATGTCACTTCAGTGCAAATGAAAGGGAAGTCCATTTAATCAAAGGCACCTAAAATTCATTTAGTACAGATGTACAACAAGCAATAAAATATTACTTATAAACTCATAAAATGACAAAAATATTTCCTCTCTGATTCATCCATGCATTGTACCAACACTGTACCATCTAGCATTTGTGTTTTTAGTACAACATGGTTGCTACCTTCTAAGAATCTCTTTTGTGCCCTTAGTCAGCAAAGATTTGGCCTTTTCCCAAGGAGTGAGCCCCATTGCATTTGTGTGTGTGTGTGTGGGGGGGTGTTCAACTGCTTACACTTGAGTAGAAGCATATAGAATTGCATGGATACTCTCATTTTACAGTCCCCCATCACCATTTGCCCCTCAAAGAGCAGAATGTCCAGTTGGAAAGCAAGAACTAGAACTTTGTGGAATCAGGAGAAAGACGTAGTCCATCTTGTCTGATGGTTTCAGAACAGAACTGGGGGCTCCTCTAACAGCTCACCCAGCAGTTGATTCCAAAATTGAATCTTCCAGGAAATCAGGCAGTGAGATGAGGCTTTAACAGATTTACAGCTGAAATACACTCAGAGGCCTTCAAAGAAGAAGATATTTCTAATACAATCACAGACAAAAATGACAGCCTTAATTTACTTTGCTCCATTTCATTTCACCATGGGAATGGAGATGTTCTTGGGAAAGAATACATTTAATGTTCATTGGTATTGGACTATATTTGGTATTGGATTTCCTTCCCAGAATACCTGCAATACTTAGGTGAAGATCACAAGTTATCCCTCAAGATTTTGCTTCTTTCAATTGGAAAGTAATAGACAGGGTTTGTTCTCTTCTGCTTTAGTTCCGTTATATTTCTTTTAAAATTTAGAATGTGATGCAAAAAAACAAAATTCCTGAAGAGTTCCAGAACTGAGAACTGGACAAAATGAAGCATTTTTAATTCTTTCTTACATTTCAGTACCATAACTCCACCTGACCTGGTTAAAACTCCTGTGCCACACAATTAGATCATCATTAATGGTTAGTTCTCTCCATGGAGAAGCCCGTGGCTCCAGTCTTCCAACTTGCACTCTATCAAAAGAGTTATTTGGGAAGGTAACCAAGTTTGTAACATCAAAACCTGCCACCGATTCTCCACTTTCATCAAAAGTCACAGTATCTCCAGCACTGTTGTTGAACAAGATTCCCCTTAGAAAATGATGGAGCTATGTTTAAAAAGGAAAATTATGCAAATATAAAAAAGATATTACTATATCTGGAAGGGGCTTATCAAAGCACTTTCACCTCTAGAAGATTAGCTAAACTGTGTGTCTCAGGCTGTAGATTTAGAGGGGTGGTGAAAGTCACTCGAAAGTCTCCTCTAGCTACCACTGTTTCCCCAGGTAGCCAGTCAGCCAGCTCTGAATGTGATGCTATCCTGCTCTGAATGCGATGCTATCCTGCTCTGAATGCGATGCTGTTTGATGTAACAAGACCATGTATACCAAAACTCCAGTCTCCCTCTTTCAACTATTTTTTTTCTCGTGGGGTTTGATGCCAGGGTTTTCAAGGAATTCGGTGTAACCTCAAAGGTGTAGTGGATGTAGCTTTCTCCCTATCTGAATCATATGCTAGCCTGCTTTTTAGAAATCACTGAGAAATAATTGCCAATTATTGCATCTTTTTTGGTGATGCCTGTTTTTCTACTTATAACAATGTGGTGGGTTCCAAGGTGGTTATGGGCAAAACATGCAAACCATGTGTCAAAACATTTTTACTCTAAGGCCAAAGTGGAGTGGTGGTTAAGAGTGCTGGTCCAGGTCTCAGGGGGTCTGGTTTCTAGTGAACCTGGCTGGGTGGCTTTGGCCAGTCACTGATTTTCAACCAGACCAATCTTGCAGGGTTGCTTTGCTGAGCATGAAATGGAGAGGAGGAGAACTTGGAAGCCAACTTATGCTCTTTGAAAGAGGAAGAAAGGTGGCTTAGAAATGCAATACCATAATAATACAGTTGGACAGAAAAGAGCAGCAAGGAATAATTGGGTTAAGGTGAAAGGAAATGACGTCGGAACTGAATCAATGGTTTTGGGTGGCACATGCCTAAAATGTTCAATGTGAAGTAGCATAATGTTGAGGTGTATCAACATTATGTTGCATTTGTGTAGAGTATGTGTGTGTGTGATAGGAAGACTCCTTCATGGAAAATCAGTCATTGAGCTGTTCTCACCTGCCAAGGCTCTGTATTATGACTTGCCAGCTCCCCTGTGTCTCTTCCACAATTTGAACTCCATCTGCTTGCAGTATGCATTGCATGTGCTACTGCATAGACAGCATTGTAGACACTGTAACTGTGGCCAGTCATCTTCCCTTCAAATATTGTACTTGAAAGTGTCTCCAACCTTTCCTCCCCAGTACACAACTTCCTGTTTTCCACATATATCTGGGAAGTGTTGAATTGACAGTGAAATGCCTGCTCCCAGAAATTCTGAAAAAATATGTCTTCTTTTCTCCAGGGAGGCTTCATGGTGTGAACAGATGTGTTGAATCCAGGTGGCTGCTTTGAGTGAACAGCAAACGTTATGGCACCATGGAAATGCTGGATGTCCCACATCTTTTGAACAGTGAGCGATGCAAAATCCCATTGGGATGTTGAAATCCACACTTTCTCCAAGGGTGGCCATGCCAAAATTGGTGCTGTCAAGAACAACATTCTCAGATTCTGCCAGGATGGGGGTTCTCCATGTACAAAAAAGGTACTAACTTTTCTTTCCATGAGAACAGGATAGTTTTGCACCAACTGTAAAAGCCGGCCTGTGTACTCATCCAAATAAGTCCGCTCTGGCAAGCGAAGTATGAAGGCATAGCAGATATCATTCTGGGAAAGCAGCGGAACCATGGATTGCAAGAACTTGTCCCCATAGTCATCGTCCACAGCCAGCAGCCCAATCCATGTCCATCCAAAATGCTGAAATAAGCGCACAACCCCCAGATACTGATGGGATTCCTTGGGAACCATCTGGTACAGAAATGGGAATTCTGTCTTGTCACCATGTGCTGGGGAAAAGGACCCATAAGTGAGCTGAAATCAAATGCATCAAAGGACACAGATGGATTAGGAGATCATGTCAACTTCTGTCCCATGGATTTTCCAAGATTCCATGGAAAAAGCCTACCTGTGGAATCTTGTACATGGCAAGGATGATGGCCAGAATTTCAGAGGCTTCAGTCACAAGTCCTCCAATGACAGCAGCTATTTTTTTCTGAGCACCACAGCTGAAATTGGGCACAAATCTGTGGTATGTGCATAGGAGTCCCATGGTGGCCTTATACCTCATCCTTGCAATGTAGTAGCCATTGAGAATGTGGAAGCCCAGAGTGAGGTTTGGCAGGATTTGGGGATTCCCATTGATCTCATCTACAGCAAAGGACAAGGCCAGGATGTGCTGGTACATCTTTGGCACGAAACTGCAATGAGAATGATTCAACCCTGAACTGTGGGTGTGAAATATGGGATGGCGGCATACCAAAGGAGACATATTTTTTTCAGAATTTCTGGTAGCAGGCATTTCACTGCGTAATTGCAAGCATCACTTCCAAAACAGGTGATGTACTATTTTCACTCTACTCAGCACTAGTCAGACCTCAGCTGGAGTTCTATTTTTATTTCTGGGCAGCTAAGCTTTAGAAGAGCCAGTGAGGTATAGGGGTTAAGAGCATGGGACTGGGACTCAGACAATCTGGGTTCTAGTCCCCGCTCAGCCGTGGAGCCAACTGGGTGACTTTGGGCTTGTTACAGAATCTCAGCCCAACCTACCTCACAGGGTTGTTGTTGTTGTGGGGATAAGATAGAGGAAGAGAATGATTTAAGCCGCCTTGAGCCCTTTGTAGGAAAAAGGTAGGATATAAATAAAAGAATAAATAAAATAAAGGTGCAGAAAAGCTGGAAAGAGTGGATAGGACGGCACCAAGTATAATTCTGGAGGCAAAGCCCTTTGAGGAAAGATGAAGAGAACTGGCATGTTCAGCCATAGGAAGCACTATAGAAGTACCTCAAAGGCTGTCACCGAGAGAAGGACAAGATCTCTACTTGTTCATTCCAGAGTACAAGACATGACAGTGGATTTAAGTTAAAAGAAGCCCACTTCAGACTATCCACCAGGAAGAATTTCCACTCTGTCAGAGCAGTATGACAATGGAATCCCTTACTTGGGGAAGTTGTGGGTTCTTCCTTGCTGGAGGAATTGAAAATGTGTTTGTGCAGCCATCTAAATGGGATGGTTTAACTCAGTTTCCTGCAACAGCTGGGCCTTGGACCTGTTTACCTTCTGTCCCTTTTCAACTCTACTATACTATGATTTTATTCGTTTATATGGCCAGACAAGCCAAATCATTCACAAGCGCAAGGTGTTCTAGAAAGCTACTTTCATCTTCTGCAAATAAATCATGTTGCATAAACCTTTTCCCTGTTACTGCAAATTGAACATATTGGAGAAAGAAAAAGGAAGGCAGGCAGGCAGGAAGGAAGGAAAACTTACGCAGCTTCATTGATCAGCATCTGTGTGGGTTGCTGTACAAAAGAGGGACTGTTGTGAAAGTAGAAAACTTGAGAGACAATTGCACCTATGACGAACATGCCTGGCTGATAAAATTGGTGGGGTGTAGGAAGGGGATCTGTAGGTATAGCACAGCTAATAGAATTAGTCTCACATTCTGTATGTAACTGCAAAACAAGCATGAGAACTCCTAGAACCACCATCTTCATAACAGCATTCTCATCATGATTTAGATTCCTGTGTTCTCCAAATAGCATTCATTTCATTTCATCCTTTCATGAATGGGGTGCACAGCTGTAGGAGAACAGATGGAAAGTAGCTAAGTCTCCTTTCTTGCAACTTCATTGCCACTTTCTCTTTCTAGATGCTTCACAGAGATGATCTTCCCTACGCATTTACCCACAATCTTGAAGGAAGCATTAATGCATTTGAAAGAAAAGGAGCCGCCTATTACTACATCAAATATGGTCTATGGCACCCTTATGGTATAAGCACAAAGGAACTTGGAAATATAAGCATGTTGAGATGAAAAGAAATTATCCAAGCATGATGAAAACCTGTAATCTGGATGGTGACAGGGGAGCTAATCACATCCCCCAGAGGATCAGTGTTTCCCATGGCATGACACAAAGGAAAGCACTTGAAATAGAAAGTGTAATGGCTATCATTTTTGTTTTGAATTGTACCACATGTGTTAGGAAAATTCCCCCTCACTTAATAACAGGGACTGATGATGCAACAGCAGGGGGTTGTTCTTGATGGACTTCATGTCACCTTCCACCTCTACTATGCTATTATTGCATTCTATGACTCTGTGTGGCCTGGATGCATCCCAAATTGACTCCTGGGCCTCCCTCACATGAGCCTCCCTTTCATCTCACATAAACTCAGGAATTTGGGGAAGTTAGTCTGCCTTGTGATTGCATTGAACCAAATTCCCCATTGCCTACTGGGGTGGTGGAAGGCAGGAACACTCAGCAATGTCACCAGGTTTCAAATACCTGACTCCTGGTGTGCCATGTGACACTCCCCCAAATACTCCAAATGTGCCCACCCCTGCATGCATGTGAAGCTCTTAGGGTAGCCCTGCCATGGGTCTCCAGACAGGGCTTGCGGTCCATGAGAAATGACTGTGAATTCACAGGCAAGACATAGATCTTTCTTTCAGAAATAGCTAGAACTGCTGCAGCACTTCCCTTTCATGAGCCAGGCCTCTTAACCGTGCACGAATGGCAAAAAAGGCCAATTCACACTCACAGGGTAGATGAAGAGTATATAACTAGTGCATGAGGAGGTTCTATTGTTTCTTGATAAAAGAAGCTGTAAACATTGTGGTATTTCCACATACTAAGCTTGGCTTTTGGAAATCGTTAACCCAAACAGCAGTCCAATCTTTTGATTCTTTTCACCACCAAAGTGAAAAATACATTTTTAAAGCTACTATCTGTTTTGTATTCTGGTTGCTTAGCCAGTTATGCTTGTGCTCTTGCATACAAGTTCATCATGGAACTACATCCAGTGCCAGAGATCCACTTGGTCAGTAGCCACTCTTGCCAAGCTACTACCCAGACAGTTCTTCTGAAAGCTGCAGCTATGCAGCACTGTCATAGGTGTTCTCTCTTGGCCAGCCTCCTTCCCTGTAGATCATCTCTGGGGCAGGAGTGGGCAACCAGATGATGAGTAAAAGGTGTAGACTCAGCAGGGAGGAGAAGTGAGAATCAGCCAGGCTTTGACACCCAGGTGGGGACGGCAGGCTGTAACAAATGTCCGCTCTGCCCTCCCTCGCTCACCAGAGGTCCCCTCACATGGAGGGCTCAGAAGCAGCATCAGGTAGCATGTGGTTGGGGGTTGTGAGTCCCTGGGGAGTCCCTCCCCACCACCCATTCCTTCTCCTGCAGAAACTTGGAGGCAGAACAGAAGGGCAAGTGCTGTCTCCTCACTTCTCAGACCTACTTGCCAGAAAATGGGTGCCATGCATGGGTGCTGGGTGGGCGATGGCTCTCTGGTAAGAAGAATGGGGATCGCAGACAATCAGCACTATCACCCACCGGATGCTCAGCTGATCCTTACCCCTCCTGCACGCAAAAGGCTTCCCTCTGGCCTGTGTGCAGCTGATTTCAGAGTTGTGTGTTCTTTATGGGACTAGTTCTTTTTCTGAGGTTGTTCAAGAGTTCCATATGAGATGCGAGAACTCTGCCTGATAATACATGCATGCATTTCTGAAATGTGTGCTGACCACACATTCAGTCTGTGAATGAGGAGTTCTGGCTTCCACATTTTAAGATTTCTCTCTGTGCCATGATTCTGCCTCTTCCCCATGTATGATAGCTGAATCACGATTGTGTATATAATTGTCTGACCATGACATTGTAAATAGAAGAGGTCCCCAGACTCAGCTAGGCCAGTGGTCCCCAAACCTTTTCAGGCTGCCACCCCATTCCTCTTGGATGACAACCCCAAAACCTCCAACCCTCTTTCTAGGGTTCACTTTTGGGTTTGAGTGTGGTGCTGGCACTTTCCTTCTCTCTGCCATACGATGCTCATCTATTCCTGTTTGAGACTTGCTTCACCATTTTTGAATGAGGACAACAATTAACCCTTTGGGTTCTTTTTCCAAAGGAGCTGGTCTCTGCTGTTCAGAGAGAAAGCCAGAACCAACTTGATGGTTTTTGCCAACATGCAAGAAATAGCCACTGAGAAGGTGACAGCAACGCAGTTTACGGTAAAGAGCAAGTCACTGCCTGAGGCTACCCAATGAATAGCAAAGGGCAAAGGAAGCAGAGCAGGAGGGAGGTAAGCAGGGAGTAGGTGAACTCCCGGTTGTTGGCTTTGATGATCGGAGTGTTCCTTTTCTTAATGAATGCACTAGCACCAAAGCTGTGAGAAGAGCAAAGAAATGAGTGTGCCAAAGAGTGCCAAGAAAACTGAAATCATCCCCAAAGTTTCGGAGAAAGAGAGGAAACTTAGGCTCTTGGGAATGCAGTGATCTTGCTCCCTGTTTGGAAATTGCTCTTCTGGTCAGTGGAAGCAATCATTCATATCTGAAAATCAGATGAATGTTTTGTCAAACCCCACAATCATGTCTTCATGTAAATGCTGGCTCTTATCATTTTATGAAGTACTTAGAGCCATTCTTTTCCTTCTGCCTGGAAAATGCCTTGACAAATGCACAGTGTGTATTTGAAAGTAGTTGTCAGACATGGGGAATTTTTGAAGATGCATAGCATAAAGTGAATCCAGGTAGTGTTAGTCCATGGTGAAATCCAAGTAGTGTTACTATAGAATCCCTGAGAAATAATGTGATGTGTGTAATGAGACAATTCCTGTTCTAAGTAAGGCCACCAATTTGGAATCTTTAGAACAACAGCAGCTGGGCAGCCCTGAGGTGGAGTGTCATGCCCTCCACCACCTTCCCTCTTTCTCTCTACAGTCTGTTCCTTGGTCAAAACAAAGTTGTTGAAGTGTTGAGTTAAATATCATTTGCTTATTAGCCAATCTAGCAAGGACAGAATTTCTTTTTTTAAATACTTTTTTAATTAAAATTTTAAACCAATACTAAAAACATCAGTCATCACATACATCGGAACTACTGGGTCAGCCCCCTAATACATATCTTTTTACATTCTGTAATCATTTCCAAATCCATTTATGATATCTTGAAAACATTTTTAGATCTAAACCAACTCCTGTTTCTCCAGCCAATAAAAAAGGAGATTCCATATTTGATAGTTCAATATCTTCTTTCTTCTTCAGTAGTAACTTCAGTCTGACCATCTCCACACAATTCAAGATCTTTTCATTTTTCTAATGCTAAACAAATAGACTCCTCACTACAATAGTTACAAATAAAATCACATACATTTCTTGTTTACTAGTATTCCAATCCAATATCTACTAAA